GTGCGTGTGTTTGTGTGTGTGCACACCACTTGTGCACATAAATAGATAGATAGCATATATAGATAGATACATGGATATAGTATATGGATATAGTTATAGGACAGATTAGATCAGACAGCCCCCCCCCCCCCCTTATAGATATAGGTATAGTTATAGACAGATAGATAGACAGATAGATAAGGCTTACTCATAATTACAAAAAAAAAAAAAAATCGAAAAATCTGCGCGGAGGCAGGGCGGCCGCCACGCCCGCGCCCGACTCAAGAAATCTCCCACAGTCGGAGCCTTATCACGCGCGGCGCGCCCCGCACATCCCTCCAACACACCTCAACGGTATCTCTTCCTACAACGTCATATTTCGCTCACGTGTTATCTTGCTTCCTATTTCTGCTTCTTCGTCTTCGTCTTCTTCATCTTCTTTATCTCTTCCTCAGTTTCTTCTCCCTTCTCGTCCGCTTCTATTTCTTTCTCCTTGTTATCTGCTTCTTCTTCTTCTTAGTCTTCCTCCTTTTTCTTCATGTCAGTGTCTGCATCAAAAGTAATAGTGCCACCTGTATTGAATATCTAAACTGATCATTATATAATCACTTCGAATACATAATATTACTAATAGTGATAGAGGTAATTCAAATACCATACTAAAATACTAATACNGGCCACATATATGGAGGTTTTATATGATGCCAGAAGTAACATACGTCAACATGTGTTAAACTTGTTTCGTTTTACTTGGACTACTAGATCAGTCTGCCTTACATTCAGGCTAAGGTGCTTGCGGGAAGCAAATGCGCTACAGAGCTGTACCTTCGCCTCATTAACGGAGCGCGGAGTGTGTTAAGAAAGCACGTTCTGCGTTAGATAACTATTGAGCACTATGGCAAGGCGTGATGGAGTGAGTTTTTGCTCATAAACTTGGAAGTATACCGACAGAAAATGGGTACATGCATGAATTGTAACACAAAACGGTGAAACAAATGATGCATGCACAGGCCTATATGAAGGCTATTTATTTTTACACTTTTATATTTAGATGCTGATTGAATTTAGCGCACTAGTAGGGTTTGGAAATTGCATTTCATTTCATTTCATGAAGTAAATTAAGGAAATAATGAAGTATTGGGACAAAATGATTTCCCTTGGTTCAATCGTATTCAAGATATAAATAAAACGACCTGCATTGCCTGTGCTTTTGCATAGCATTATCGTAACCATTTCCATAACTGTTTACTATTTGGCATCATCATAGCTCTCGATAACGACCGTGTTGAGTGTGACTTGGGACCCTTTACAATAGGTCAGGAGTATTACTGGTGAAGTTTTAAATATTTCGACGAAGTGAACACGTTAACACTCCTTCAGAGCAGCGCCTCGGAACAAATAATAATGATTTTATTAATGGATGAGTGCAAAATTAAAGAACCAAAGAGTCAAACAGAGAGGCACGAAAACCTTTTTTTCGCTGAAAAAAGAACGGGTCAGATTGCCATCCGACAAGTCGTTGACTGTAACATCTGGCAATTTATTAATGCTGACTGTATGATATCCATATTACTTAATTGCCTTTATCTTCTTTTTACGTTATTCTGAATATAGTTTATGTTAGCATTCATTTTCTCGTTCATAATCATTACCAATTTCTATTTATGTTCATCATTATTGATATTCACTTATAAAAACATTATTAGTAAATAGATTCATTTGTAATTTAACTGGTTTGATATATTCCATAGGATGCATATCATTATTATTAGAGCTAAACACACTTCACATCATCAAATCATGAAGCCATTGCTAAAACAATGCCAATGTTGACATCACGAGTGCTGGAAATTGCCTACATCCACAATCCCATTCCGTGTATAGGGGAAAACCATTAGCTTCACACATGCTGAAATGATTAAGCTCAAATCAGATATAAATTCGATCCATTAGACTTCTGAGAGGGACAATTAGAGACCGATAATTGATTTAATTATTTTTCATTCCTAAAGAGTTATGGGGACGTCGTTCATTTGGCCAGGACGGTCTATAAATCAGATTAACCAATTAGTTGATGAGTCAGGACTGTGTTCATGAGGCAGTTGCTGTGATGTTATTATAGGTCCGGTGTGCTAATGGGGTAGTGGAAGGGGTGGAAGGAGAGGTGGTGGGATGAAGGGGAGGGGTGACTGTAGGTGCGGGGGTGAGGAATGGGTGGAAGGGTGTAGAGGGAAGTGTTTTTGAGGCAGTGAGGAGGAGGGGTGGGTGTGGGGATTACTGGTGGGGTGGGTGTGTGGGTGAAGGGAGAGGTGTGGGTTGAATGGGAGGAGTGGTTGCCGGAGTGAAAGGAGAGGGGGAGGTGCGGTGATAATGAAGAGGATAGGTGTAAGGGTGAATAGTGGTGATGGAGTGTGTGGAGGAGTGAGTGGATGTAAGTGTGAATAGGGAAAAGTAGGTTTGGGGGACGAAGAGGAGGGGCTGGTGTACTGGTGAAAGGGGAAGGGTTTTGCATAGGGGCTGAAGGGAGAGGGCGGATGAGGTGATAAAGCGGGGTACTTTTGAAGATCGACAACACTATGGAAAAAAAGGTTTCACCTACCATTTATTTTCTCTTTACTCTGACACCATTTCGAATGTTAGTGCCGGTCTTGTGCCATGCCAAGTGACACATGAATTAGTCACGTGTCACCTCCATCGTTACGAGTATTTACCGTGTCAATGTGTCCTGCGTGCCGAGCACTCGTGTATATCTTGCGTGTACGAACTCCTGCATCGTACTAGCCTGTCGTCAGATGTCTTGCACGCTGCCTTTGTCGATGGCAGTTTTAATGTGTTCTTTACGCGATTCAAGATTGGCAAACATGGCGAATTTAATGGATGTTCTTTATTCGAGCGTGTTGCAATGAGCGCCTAGTCTCCACTACATTACTTTTGAGGTTAATCGTGGAACTGTATCAACTGTAAAGACATCTTTGAAAATCGAGCAGTGTCGTCAGGTAGTGGTTGTGATGCGTCCCATATACTACGGAGATGTTGGGATATTTAACAGTAGAAATGTCGCAAGTCCCAACTAAATTACCTTTTTTTTCTTCTTTTTTTTGCAACGGACAGTATGAAATCTAGCATGATGTCGACAATACCCTCACTCATTCTTACAATAAAAAAGAAAAGAAAAAAAACACGGTTTATTTATCTTCTAATTTCTTTCTTTCAACACAAACACTAGCATGCTTCCAGTATTCCCTAAATACTACTCTTGGCACCATTTCCCCCCCAAGGCATGGTCCCTTGAGCCTTTGTTATTATGATGAATTACATAAAACATACATCTAATTATGATGATTGATGTCGAAAATAATGACACTTAACAAACATTCATTATAAAAAAAAAAAAAAATCAAATGATACACAAAAAGCACAAACACATTATTTCAAATGTCATGCAATATTCAGGTCTTGAGTGTATTAAAAGCATTAGCACCTCCATTTTTACGTGGCTTCCGGCTGAGTGATTAAAGGTGTCTTTCCAGCGTTCCACAGGTAGACTCTTGGGTTAAAATTCGAGGAAGTGCAATGCTGAGGGCGATTGGCGTGAAATACTAAACCACACAAAATATTCAACGAAATATATATACCAAATCGTGATATTTACCTCCATAGATGTGTTGACGATGTTGATGTTCACTAAATAAGCGCGTGAAACAGACACACACACTCTCTCTCTCTCTCACACACCACACACACACTCACTCACA